AGGAAGCGATCTCGTCAAGTTTAAAGTCAACTTTAAGTCGGGAGTGAATGTTAACAACACGTGGAACTCGAAAAAAAAATGGGGAAATGAATATTTATTCTCAAACTGTGTATTGAATTCCATAATTAGAAAGCGACTTCAAGGCTACTTAAAAGGTTGCCAAGGATAATGGTTTCGTGGAATGCAATTATCGGGTGTTCGGTGTTCACGTTGAAGTTTGTACTGAATTCTACCAAGTTTGATGAATGGCGCGATTCTTGTTGAATAATTAGCCCATGAATGTGCCGTGTTGGCCTTTCAGACTCGAAAATATTCCATATATCATGTAGAACCGAGGCAACTTTATGGTCAAGTGAATTGTTCACTTATCGTGTGTCCTTACCTTGAATCCTTGATTTTCGCAGTCGCGAATCGATTTCGAATTTTGAAATCTTCCAACCTCGTCGCTGTACTTTTTTAGAAAGTGCATAAATAATCGTCCTTTTTTGCAAAATAAATGATAAATGGCGCAATAAACGTCTCGCGCGGGAAGGGTGAATTTTTTTTTTTTTTTCATTAATGGTACGAGCAAGCGATCCCTCTTTTTTTTTTTATTTGCGCCGATATACGTGGAGCGTTATAATCACATGGAAATCGAGGGAAATAAATAATTTCGTAGAAATCCGTGCCTCGGTTTTCAGCCGAAACGATGCAGTTGACCTTCTGCACCGGCCCTGGATTCTCGCGTTAAAATGCTTTGCATAAACCAGGCTTTAATTGGCTCGATAGAGCGAATTAAACCGCAGTACAAGAGTTCGCTTCTCTGTGTTGGGACACTTGGAATACCGAGCTCTTCTTCCCTCTCCATTCTTGCGCCGTTTAATCATCGAATGTTTATAAAATATATCCGGACATCGGGTGATGACAAATGCCTGATAAAGGACCGGCGAACATAACACTGATTGGGATGAAAAGATACTTCGAAGGAGATCAAAATATTTCGACGACTTCAGATGCGCTTGGATAGTGTTAATTTTGTCAAACTTGAGAGAACTTGGAAATGTTTAGAAAATGACAAATTATGAAGAACTAACTGGTCATAATGAGCGATGTCTACTGATATCTCTTTCGAGATATGCTCGAGAAATCAGCCAACGTTATCACGGAATTGCACGTTGGAATGCCGATTACGTAATTGGCGCATTCATTGACGCGAAGTGCTCCATAATTGAGAATTACTAAGTACTAAACGAAGGAGACTTTAATGCCTCCGAAACCTGACTCCGGTATTGCAATAAATATAAAATCTCTCACCGACGGCAAATTCACGCAATATATTGGATAAATAGATTGAAGCGAACGTGCTCGACATTAAGTGAGAGCTTTTCAATCCGATATTTCTATTCGGAGAGCCGGATTACGTATCGGTATATATTAATCACATCGCTGGAAACCTGCATTAAACCTAATATCGGTGCACGTGCAGCTAACTTCGTGAAAGCATTTCGGGTTTAATCGAATATGCATATACCGAGGGAAAATTATTTTCATATATAACGCATTAAATGTAATTATTTAAATCACGTTACGAATCGTGGACAAAATTGTAGCAGCATTTCCGTTATCCCCCATAGTCATCTATCCGTTCACAATTTAGTACCAATAATAGCGCAAATCACGCAATTTAATTGACTCGTGACTCAAATAAACTCAAATGAATTGTCAGAATTCCAAAGAAATATGTTCCATATAATTTATGCCAGTTGATTTGAGGGAATTATTCTTGAAATTATCCTTCTTCGGGAAAATCATTTCTCGAGCTTGATACGTTGATTTGAAAACGTAATAATAATAGCGACAAGTTAATTCGATGATAATGTCCCTCCAGACAGGAAATCGTCACTCAGCCTACCGGGTGCTGCAATCACGATGTCGTAACATTGACTTATATATGTTCACGTTCGTCATTTATCCATTACTCGCACGCGACTTAATTTTTTATATTTTTCTTATGTTTTCTTTTTGCACCTCCTTTCTATCAAATGCTCATGCTCGGCCGTGGAAATGCAAGATTGCATTTTCTTACGTGGCTCAATATTACGGAAGTTTTTATTAATCGTTCCATATTCTCTTCTAATACTCCCTTTTTTCATTATTTATTTGCAATTTACCTTTGTCAGGCTCTGTGCCACTTGTGACGACAGAATGAAAAGTCCGAATTCGAAAATGTTTTGACTCGATTTCCTGCTCCGTGTCCTATCAGGAAATGATTCGATATCATAATTCGCTCGAGGACTTTTTGTATCGTTTTCGTGTCTTCGTGACTTGTACCATCTCGAGGGTTGATCATGTTTCAATGTGCAACAGGTTTTGAACGCTGAAACGAGCACGCAAGATTCCTCGCTCTTGATATGCGGATTTTATCGTTAATGACTTCCGCTGTGATTGAACGATCTAAGGTCAGGGTATCGCCAAAAGGCATATCAATCAGGATATTAAAAAATATATCGTACAAAAACTTCGACAAGCACGTCGCAGTAAAATCGTCACGAATTTCGGGATTGTCCTGCTTTAAGGATAACATTCGACTTGCAAGGATTTTTCTGAGTCAGGCAAAGGATAAAAGGAGGTGTCGACAGGGCAGGGACGAGAGTGCGACTTCCCGAAGGAGTCCCTCTCGACACCATCCTCGGGAAGGACCTCGCTCCTCGCTCCTCCGGGATCCGTATTCCTGGCGTGGCCCGACTCCCGTTTAGGGATTCGGATCTCGTCCCAGAAGCAGAATGCGACCCCGAAGAGTGCCCTCTCTTCCAGGGAACCGCGAACTCTATACCGACAAGACAAAGGAAAGGAGGAGGGATTCCCTCGGGACAGAAAGACCCGTCTTCGTCTCCTCGTCCTCGGCTCTTCCATCTCGGAATATATTTCTCTTCCAGGTGTGCTACCATGTCGGGGCTTTCAGCTTCCCTTTCTATTTTTTTTTTTCATTCGGCTTCATTAGACGCGCTTAGCCTCGTTAAACGAGGTCGTTAAAAACCGTACAGGAAGAGGAAAAATAAATCTGGCCAATGCCATTAAACGCGATTAAAATGAATTTTGAGAGGAACTCGAAGATGCCGAGGTTGTTGATTTAAAACGATTAAACACTATATGCACGTTTTAGGCGTTTAGTTTCCGCATTTGCGGTGGGAACAATAAAAAGTTTCATTGATTGTACTAAATGTTTTTTGCACGTTCCTTTAATCAGATTTAACTTCCACGTTTCCTGTTCGTCACTTAATGAAAATTCAATTTCTCCGGAAAAAAAAACAACGGTTGATTAGACGTGAATTTGTATGCCACATGGTTATTCGCGTGGTATTACAATCATGCCATGTTGTTTATATAATATAATTCCCGTGATAACGAAGTTATTCAAACGAAGTCTGAATAATCTCCCCGAGACCACAAGAATGCGGAATAATGGAATTCCTCGGTTCGGGAGAAATGCTTTCAGATATTCCCATTCAGGAGCGCTTTCCTCCAGGAAGTGGAAAGCGCAGTGGATTATAGAATGGACATGGCTGATAATATTAAAAAGGAGATGCCAGGAATATCTGGAAATATTGATCATTGGAAATCCATTCGCATGGCTCGGGTTATATAGCGACGAGGCATCGCCATTGTGCCATATAGCTTATATTACGAGCAATAATGCAAACGAGATCCGGACGATCTTCCGATGATCCCGAAAACGCCGACTAATGGGATTCTTCGGTCCAGCGGAAATGCTTTCCGATGTCCCCATCGAGAGTACCTTTCCTCGGGAAGGAGGAGGTCGTCCCGTCGAGGGGCGCGCCCTGGAGAGCGATCGATCGGCCCCTCGTGCCGTCCAGGACGGGTCTCCGTAATTCGGCCGATTTTCCCGGATTTTCCTCGGATTCCCCGTAGTTTTCCGGGAGTCCCCTGGGCGCTTCCGACCGAGAGATGAGGTCGCGGTTCTAATCTTCGGCAGCATCCGCGCCGCTCCGGAGAGCGACGGAGGCGCCTATCGATCTCTTTCCGCCCTGTCGAGAGCTCGTCCACCCTCGCCGGTTGGTTCCCTTCCTCTTGACCGTGCCAGGAGGAGCCAATTCGCAGCTTAGGAAGGGAGACTAGAGGAATTTGCAACTTTCCAGGTTGTCGATGGACGTGGAGTTGGGAGCTGGTCTCGAGAGTTCCTAGACTCTTGCGCTCCCTGATAACACCGTTCTTCAGGGCTGATTTATTTGCCGACTGGTGCACCTGCCTCGTCGAATATTTTCCCGTTTCACCGCTATTTAAAAAATGTAAACCTGAATAATGCAATAATTCTCCCGAACGAGTCTGAAATCCACTCCATGAGAAATTCCAAGAACTCCAGGGAACGCTTTAATTTTCTACTTCCCCCCAGAATCTGAGAGTTCCATCGGACCGTAGCCCATTTAGGGTCCCTAGGATGCGTTTCCTGCCCTCGGCAGTTCCAAGGAGTGCAACGGAACTTGCAGGTACCACATCCGGTGGCCGTACTCGGGCATTCCACCCGCCTCCACCTCGACGGGGTCCCCATTCATGCACGAGGATGCATCCTTGAAATTCAAAGGATCCCCGACACCCACCCTCGAAACGCAGTCCTTTGGCCCGGGAGGGGGGCCGAGAACCCTTTCTGCATTTTTCTCCGGTGTGCGAACTGGCGCACCTCCCCCGCCTGCATAATCCCCTCTGGGAAGCGACAAATCTGTTTAACCGGCGAGTCTGCACCCCATGCAACGGATTAACATATTCCACGGCCGAGACGATTTTCCCTGCATTATTCACGAGGCTTCACCGTTTCGCGATCGTGCGGATATCGTCATGCCAGGAGATGTTACGTTACTCGCGGTTTTTCGACGGAGAAAGCGCGCGCTTTCGTCAGTCCTGTAGGATGCACTGCTCGGAAAGTAGGATGCACTGCAGAAAACAATTTTTCCAAAGGCCCGCAATATTTGGGGGCCATTGTTAATGATCCCCATTTCTGTCCCCAGGTTACGTATTCGGCCGACCTGGCGATCGAAATCCCTGGGAACCTCAGCCAGGGCGGGTCCTGGTACCGATTGGACTACAGTCCTCCTGTCGGATATCCGCCTCCAAACACTACCATTGCTGCCACCGACATCGGGGACGTAATCAAGTTCCGGGATGGACTTCCGGGTACCAAGTACGAGTTCTGGCTGTACTACAGCAACGGCACTCTGCACGATTGGCTTACATGGACGGCCTCCATCTCGACCGGTAGGTGTCATAAGCGGTGATGACCGATGAAATCCCCCAGAAAGTACCCGATTAACACATTTCATCGATCAACTTGGAATAATCGAGATTACCAAGAAACTTTGGTATTTGGCGCAACACGAATGAACATAAGAAAAAAAAAATTAATCGTGGGAAATTATTCCAGCGCCCGATCCACCGTCCAATCTTACGGTGTTGGTCGTCAATGGGAAGACCGCAAAGGTGTTTTGGTCCCCACCGTCACAGGGTAATTATTCTGGGTTTCGATTGCGGGTACAGAGCTTTAACGACGCCGGAAACCCAAGGACAAGCCTGATACCGCCGGATGCAGTGCCGTACAACCTGAGGGACCTAACTCCTGGGGCAACGTATTCGTTGCAACTATTTACAGTCCTGGACGCCAAAGAGAGCGTCGCCTATACCAGCCGGAATTTCACTACGAGTGAGTAATACGTTTATATACTTGTCAATACATTATTTAATACATATTTATTTAATTGATATAGAGTGGGTTAAGTCAAGGTTTGGATGGATGACCTGAGGTGTCCGTTTCAGAGCCCAACACTCCGGGGAAGTTCATCGTCTGGTTCCGTAACGAGACCACGCTTCTGGTTCTTTGGCAACCGCCATATCCAGCAGGGATCTATACTTATTACAAGGTGAGCATAGATCCCGCGGATGCTATCGAGTCCGTTTTGTACGTCGAGAAAGAAGGAGAGCCTCCAGGACCTGCTCAGGCCGCGTTCAAGGGACTCGTTCCTGGTAAGTTCACGTAATGATCCTCGAGCGACCGACCCTTGCCGGTTGTACTTGGCGCGGAACTCTAGCCTCCTAATAGCGAAAACTCTTTTCCTCTTGCCTGGGCTGAGAAAAAAAAAAAAATTTAATTCACCCAGAGAATCTAACTTTGTAGAATTATTTCCCTTGCGATTTTAAATTTCATCCTATATACTCAGCCTCTATTTGAGGATTGATGCTTTGCAACAATGATTCTTAAATGTTACGTTGTTGAATTAAATGTCGTCAAGATTGATGAGTGAAGGATGCAGACGGGGGTTTTATACGTTCTTTTGGGTTTTCAGGGAGAGCCTACAACATTTCTGTTCAGACGGTCTCCGAGGACGAGACCTCAGCTCCCACGACAGCTCAATATCGGACGGTACCACTTCGGCCATTGAACGTAACCTTCGACAAGAGGTCGGTAACCTCGACCTCGTTCCGGGTCTTTTGGAACCCGCCCAATGGCACTTCGGAGTTCGACAAGTACCAGGTGTCGTTGGGGTCCAACAGAAGGCCGGCGCCGGTCACCAGAAATCGAGATGACGAGAGTTGGTGGGAGTTTAAAGATTTGGAACCTGGGAGGACCTATCAAGTGGTTGTCAAGACGGTATCAGGAAAAGTCACCAGCTGGCCTGCCAGCGGTGACGTCACACTCAGTAAGTTACCAATCCTGGTTATTTTCCTACCAGCTGCGAATTATCAAGATTACACTTTGGTTACAATTGCTATAACAACATGGATGAAGTTGGGAATTCAGAAAATTTGGAGACCTTGTTTTGGTCTTTGCAGCGGACATATGGCTTGATTTGAGTTTCCCTTTTCAATTTCTAGAACCGCTTCCGGTTCGCGACTTGGTCGCCGAGATCGACGACAAGACGGGAATGGTGGAGGTCTCCTGGAGTCCTGACAATAGCAGCATCCAGGACAGCTACAAGCTTCTGTATCACGAGGTGGAGACGTCCATCGGTGACAGCAATACCCTGACCACGGAAAAGACGAGGGTTGGTTGTTCATTTCGACCTGGACTAGACTCTAGAACCAAGACTATGAACCCGTTCTTAGAACAGCCCTGAACGGTCCATGCCATCAATTCTGTCATCCTTTCTCCGGCAGATCACCTTGGAGGCTCTGCTACCAGGCAGGAACTATTCGATAATCGTTCAAGCGATTAGCAACAAGGCGGAGTCGAACGAGACGGTGCTGTACCAAGTCACCAGGCCTTCCAGTCCCATAATAGAAGACCTGAAGTCCATCGAAAGGGGTCTGAACATCTCCTGGAAAAGTGACGTCAACTCTCGCCAGGAGAAGTTCGAGGTGACACACACGAGGAATGACACCGGAGAGAGCGCGACGACCCTCACCACGGAGTCGCACATCGTGCTCGAGGATTTATATCCTGGTGCAGGCTACGAAGTCAAGGTCTTCGCAATTAGTCACGGCCTGAGGAGCGAACCTCACGACTACTTCCAGGCAGTTTGTACGTCTACGCTTTCGAATCGTCCTCAAGGCTCTCCTCTCGCTCCAGTGCCCTCTTCTAACGCGTCTCCCTTCCCCGATCAGCTGATTTTGACAGCTGCCCCTTCAGGCGCCACAAAGCCAACGAAGCGAACGCCTCCGGTTCCCGTTTCCGCTACCGTTCCACTTTGGGTTCCTCCCTCTTTGCCTGCCTCTAACGACCACGATTGGGAATCGCAATTATTTTATCATCTCCATGATCGTGAGTTTCTGAATTTTTCTCAACAGTGCCTCATCCTCCCAGAAATCTCAGCATCGAGAAAGTGACCAGCAATGTTGTCATCGTGCATTGGGATGCACCGACGGATTCCTTGTTCACCGAATATGCGATAAGATATCGTACCGAGGATGATCCCAGATGGGTAAAGTTGCCAAATGTCAGGGATACGGAAGCGGAAGTTGCGGATATGACACCTGGGGAGAGGTACATCATTCAGGTGAACACTGTCAGCTATGGGGTCGAAAGTCTCTACCCGTTACAAGTCAATCAAACGATTCGTAAGTATTGCCAAAAAGTATTAAACAACACTTTCTAAATGAAGTTAATCCAGATATGGTCTAATCATTTTACAATAATGTAGCTGTATTAAGTAGAAGATTCAGCAATGTGATATATATCACATGTGATTTCGCGATTCCATGTATAAAAAAAAAATTAATTTTTCCTTGAATATTCTTTAGACATTGTTTAAAAGGATTGCAATTGTTTTCGTAACTACGTTGGTATGTGACTAAGTAATCCAGCTAAAGGCAAAGTGGGCCGCTTTCTACTAGAAGCAGTACTAATGAAACTCTATTGCAAGAGCGACCTGAAATTGCGAAATTTCATGTACACGTGCGAGTTTATGAAATTTCCTCGCGTCAGATTATTCTCTGAAAAGGAAATATCATACTCGTAATCACACTCGACTGAGATTATCTTGCGTTGTCATCTCTTTCGTCATCTTTAAAATAAAATGTAGACACTATTGAAAATAGATGTTACCCCTTCACGAGTCTGGAATATTACATGCAAATTGTAAAATGTATTTATTCCCAGTGATAAGCCGATGCAAATGTTGCGCGGTTCTATTAATAGTACCTTCCTGTAGTTTCTTTTTATCCCCTTGATATGTCTCGCTTAGAGGAATAATTTCCTTTAGAGATAATCCGACATCTTTATTATGTCCGGTCTGACATCTTTACGTTGTCTCGTCTTCAGGTCCGAATCCGGTTATCAATGTCAAGCCAGTCTCCGACTCGACGAATGTCACTCTTGAATGGCCTCGACCCGAAGGCAGGATCGAGATGTATGTCATCACCTGGTGGTCCGTCGAAGATCCTGATGACGTCAGGTCCAAAAACGTCACCGAGAGCAACGTTTCTGGGGCTGGATACGAAGATAACGTTCATTTGGAAAAGGTCCTTATCAGCGACCTGATGTCTGGGGTAGAATATTCATTCTCCATTTATGTGGTGTCTTACCATCTCGTTAGCGATGTCACCAATCTCACCGCTAGGACTAGTGAGTTACCTTTCATTCACATTTATTCTTACAATTTAACAGATTTTGCATTTAACTAATCGGATTAATTGAGCGATCGCTTTCGAGGCCTTGTGATTTATAAACCGAGTGAATTAATGTCCTTGAAATATTTTTCCTTTTTGAGGCTGCGAATAGCTTTTTTATCGATAAGTCTTGGTGAGGGGGGAAATAATTCAAAATCCGAGTGAACTAATTTATTCTTGCGAATGTAGTTTGGTTTTTCGACGCTGGAACCGCTATTTATCAATAATTTTTGGAGAGGACTTGTAATTAACTGCGTTTTGGTGAAGGGCGAGAAAATTGATTCTCTTGTTTGGAGTAATTTCTGCTCACCTTTTGTCGGTACACACGATCTTTATATTTCTAGAGGATGAATAATACAAACATATAGCAGTTCTGATCTCAATGCTTAAATCTATAAAAAATACTCGATTTTTTGTTTTTCTAACTTTTACATTTTAACACTTTTTTTTTTTTATAACAACTTAGAATATGTACAATGATTACGTAATTGTGTTTGCAATGCAGAGAATAGCAATGTTTTTCTATTTCCTTGTCTCCCACTTTTCTCATTATCAGTCGAATTTCTTCTTCTCATTATCACTGAATCATGCATTCAAAGTGCCAAGCTCTTCTCGAATCACCTGACTTGTCTTGAAACATTGTTACCGGCATTACTTACGTTTATTACCTACTTTACATGTACACGTAATAAAAACTCCACATTTGAAAATCAATTTTTCCAAGATCTACCTACTTCCACGTCACTTTTCCGGATCTCTCAAAGACAAGTCTCAAGACGGTATCAAAATTGCTAAAAATCGGGTAAAACGCTGAAAAGGTCTTAAAGTCCATCGATAACACGTACACGTAATTAGGATCCCAAAAATTAACACAAACGGGTTGAATCCTATTTTTATCTAACCTGGAGGGTTCTTGTACCTTCGGCGTCTCCACCTTAAAGTACCTTAAGGGGATGTGAAAGTGGCAACAAATTTTTAAAATACCTACAAGCAAATGTTTAAACAATTCAACTTTCATGGGCATCAGGACCTTCCTCATAGCCTCCACATTCGCGTTGTAAACTTTGAAACGATTCGATACACCCACTTCAGAGAAAAAGTTGATAAACAACGAGACCTGTCGCCACTTTCATATCACCTTAAAATTGTCTGGAGCTGAAAAGAATGCAGGAAAATTATATAAAAAATACAGGCGTATGCATAAGGTTGTACATAAAGTTAGAATAGTCATCGAGACTTGATTGGATAATGAAACACGGGAAAAACACTCTCTGGATGTCAGTGCCGCTGATCCAATCCGAGGTCGTCGTCGTGGTGGATCGGGACCAACCGGATTCCTTGACGTTGAGGTACACCCCGACACCCATCCAGTCGTCGCACTTCGATTTGTACCGATTTCGGATAAGTGACGAGAACAATACCACCAAAGAGAAGTTGTTGGACGACACCGATACCAAGGTGACGTTCACCGGCCTCACGCCAGGTCGGCTTTACAATGTCACCGTTTGGACCGTGAGCAGAAATGTCGCCAGCCAGCCTTTGCTTCGCCAGGACAGACTCTGTAAGTACCAGCGAGTCCCTGATGACGAGGCTCGTCAATTGTTGCACAAGTTTGCTGGAATATTTATTGCTTTCCTGCCTGATGCGCGTCATGGCCGAGTCATCGGTCCTGACTAGGACTGCTGATGAGCGCTTATGTTTTGAGAATAACGTCGCCTATGTCGTGTGCCAAAGGAGTTGCTTCTCTGCGGCAACCAAGAAACCCATATTTAAAGGGCGCGTTTTTTTAAATAAACTTATTCTTTCAGACCCCGAACCTATCACGGCAATCCGAGCAGTTAACGTGAACGACACGAAAATCACCCTCACGTGGGACGTCCCAAGGGGTGAATACGATGCTTTCGAGGTCCAGTACATCAATCAAGAAGGAAACTACATCCAGAACATCACCTCCCAAAATTCTATCACTATTTCGGACCTGAAACCCCACAGAAACTATACGTTCACCCTGGTCGTTCGATCTGGGACTGAATCCTTTTACCTGAGACGATCGAATCCATTAAGCGCGAGTTTTACCACGAGCGAGTCTTACCCAGGAAGAGTGGACAAGTTCCATCCAATAGACATTCAGCCAAGTGACATCAGCTTCGAATGGTCGCTGCCAAGCCAGGAGCAAAACGGAGTCATCAGAAAGTTCAGCATAACTTATGGATTAGAGGTGAGGGCGATTATCATTTTTAAGTACTGTCCAGCTGTCCTATGGCGCTCGATTTACATTGTCGGCATTGTTACCAAACAATGGGGACATCAGTTCCCCCTGGAGCACAAATGAAAGTGGTCACTTTATCCAGCATCTGGCTGTAGATGCTGAAGAGGGACTCATGACAATTACGAATGGGTGCCTCTTCGCCATTTATAGTAACAATAGGCAAAGATGAGGCGCCTATAGCTAGATGCTGATGAGGTGTCTACACGTAGAAACTACCGAAGCACTTACAGAATTTCTTAATGATGGTTGTGTAGGTACATTTAATTCATTCTCGTTATGACTTTTAAGAAGACAAATGCTTTCCGTTAGGGTTCCACCCACACTCAAGTACGGGATTTCCATCCCAATGAGCTCAGAGGTGTCATTAAGTCTTTGATCCCGGGAAAGACGTACATTTTCCGGATTCAGGCTGAAACGAAGATAGGCTTTGGACCGGAAGTAGTCTGGAAACAAAAAATGCCAATTTTGGCACCGCCTAAACCACCGACGCAAGTTGTGCCAACTGAAGTTTGTCGAAGTAGCACCACCATACAGATTCGGTTTCGAAAGAATTACTTCAGCGAACAAAATGGCGCTGTCACTTCGTACACGATTATCGTTGCTGAGGATGATAGCAAGAATGCATCCGGTTTGGAAATGCCCAGCTGGAGAGACGTGCAAGCTTACAGTATTTGGCCACCTTATCAGGTAATTGTCGAAATAAACGACAAATGTATAATAATTAATAATATTCATCTTCACTTTCGTGTCGTTTCTTGAAAATAATTAGCAATGTCGCCGTAATGTGTAATGATACGGTTAAAAAAATGATAATTCTTAGCAATGCGTTAAAGAAGGATCTTTAGTGCGAGTCATACATGGATGTACCGTGAATGTGTCTTAGATATCCTTGGACGATGGCGGATATCGTTTAGGATATAACAGAGAGTCATTAGAGGTCTTTGTGGATGTAAATTGTTGGACTGGATCGGGAACTTCTAATCGATTCATTAAATTATTCCGAGCAGCTCGTTAACTTGCAATACCACGCAAGTCGCGATCATCACGTGTACTCGAATCAATACACACTTACTTCTCTGTAGTATTTACACGAATACCAATTATCGAAGCGCAATGGATATGACACGTATGACTCGCAAGTGCAGTATTTGTTTGAACATACTGGAGTAAACAAGTGCGGAAAAGTGTCATGGACATTTTAAACAGCTTAATTTCAAAAGCTCATAAGCTGATTGTTAAGGTGAATTTTATATTTATCTTTAATTGTCATACGTTACAATTGAATTCTAAAATATTTTGATAAAAATGTGATGTCCGAATGGTTTCTCCTTTTGTGCAAATGAATAAATAGGAATTTTAACTCGCTTTCCTTTTATTTTAGAACACAAGTTGAAGATTGAGTTTATATATCGATTAATGTTGATTTATAATTTTCAGGTCATGGAGCCGTATTATCCGTTTAAGAATGGCTCCGTGGAAGACTTTACGATCGGCTCGGAGAATTGCGATAACAAAATCGGTTATTGCAATGGACCACTGAAATCTGGATCTACTTACAGAGTAAAAGTACGAGCGTTTACAGCACCGGATAAATTTACAGACACTAGTTACAGCTTCCCCATACAAACAGGTGAGAGAGATCAGTGGAACAAAAGTAGAAAATATAAACATTATTATCGGTACGCCAATTTTATAACATGACCCGGATGTTGGGTTTTAATTTAAACAATTCCGTGGTGTACTCTAGTTACGTAGATATCCCTCTAAATTTATACCGTGTCGTTTCGTGTCTATGTCTCGCCTAAGGATTGCTGCTGGCAGGTAAGAGCGTTTCGGCCGCCATTTTGACGTAGTTTTAATTTTCCTCGTCTACGTGCAATCGTTAACTAATTATCTCAGAAAACTAAGGATTTTTTTGTCGGTAATTCTCCGCAGATAAGGACAATACTGCCATCATTGTCGGAGTCACGGTTCCTCTGGTATTGCTGTTGTCTTTGTTGGGAATTGGACTATTCGTTCGAAGGAGAAGAAGTCAAGGAAGAAAAGCAACGGAAACAAGGACGACTGATAACGTCTCCTTGCCGGATAGCGTTATCGAGACCAGGTAATCGGTGTAACAGATTATTAATTTAATAAATGAGCGGTTTATACTGCTCCGACGAATTGAAGTACCTAATCTATTTATTCGCTTTTTAATTACCGCATAATTTATTTATTTCATCCCAGCCGGCCAATCAGGGTGGAGAATTTTGCGGAGCATTATCGCATCATGTCGGCCGATTCGGATTTCCGGTTTTCCGAGGAATTCGAGGAACTCAAACATGTCGGCAGAGATCAGCCCTGCACGGCTGCTGATTTGCCTTGCAATCGACCAAAGAATCGATTCACCAATATTTTGCCATACGACCATAGTAGATTTAAATTACAGCCCGTAGACGACGAAGAAGGGTCCGACTATATTAACGCAAACTATGTGCCCGTAAGTTTTAAATAATTGAATTTAAAATCAATTTTTCATATTGTACATATAATACCACTGTTCATAATAATACTTATGGATTACTTTTTCTTTAATTTCATGTATTCGTTAGTAAGCTGTGAATTATTTTACAGGGTCACAATTCGCCGAGGGAATTTATCGTTACTCAAGGGCCACTTCATTGTACTCGCGATGACTTTTGGAGAATGGTTTGGGAGAGCAATAGTAGAGCCATAGTGATGCTGACGAGGTGCATCGAAAAAGGAAGAGAAAAGTGCGATCACTATTGGCCCGTCGATACTCTTCCAGTTTATTACGGTGACATTTGTGTCACCATCCTCAACGAGGCTCATTACCCCGATTGGAGCATTACAGAGTTTATGCTCTGTAGAGTACGTACTTTTTATTAACAGATTTTCGCATCCCTTAATGATAGTACTTCTTATCTGATCCCCTTAATGGTTTTAGGGGGACGTGAAGCGCGTTATCCAGCACTTCCATTTCACGACGTGGCCGGATTTTGGCGTGCCAAGCCCGCCGCAAACTTTAGCTAGGTTCGTAAGGGCATTCCGGGAAAGAGTTCGTCCTGACCAGAGGCCGATAGTCGTCCATTGCAGCGCCGGTGTCGGACGAAGTGGCACCTTCATCACCTTAGACAGGATATTGCAGGAGATCCTCGTCTCGGACTACGTCGACATTTTCGGCATCGTCTGCACGATGAGGAAGGAACGCGTCTGGATGGTCCAGACCGAGCAACAATACATCTGCATACATCAATGTCTTCTGGCTGTCCTGGAGGGCCAGGACACTACGGGGCCGATTCGCGAGATTCATGACAATCAAGGTTTCGAAGGTGAGAAATCGAGGACAATCAACTTTTTACCAGCTTCTCGGCATCCTGTCATCCTTCACCGTCCTGTCGATCTTTGCATCTTCGAAATCGTGTCTTATAAACGTGGCTCGATATTGTTGATGTTTCTTGGAGCGTTTGGGAGCTTCAAATTAGACAATTGTTGACAGCGATCGAAAGTAGGGAAGTAGGGAAATTCTGGATTTTAGTGATAAGAATCACGGAAATTGGAGGAAAATCGCAGAATAAGTTATGCCTATGCAGTTTGGCGAGTCAAATAATGAAAATCCTGGCTTTGTATATATTTACATTGTGCATAAAGCTGGGGTATTGAAATCTTTTTCCGAATAATTGACGTCGATGAGGGACGGTGATGGCGATGCTTTCGGTGGCGGTGGCGTAGAGATACCCACGTGAATAACTTGACGGTATCCATTAACGGTGATGGTACTCGAAGAGGCTTTTCCCCTTTGGTTCTGCAATATCTAACATTTGAATCCAGGCAAAAATCGGAGCTCGGTCAAAAACGCAAAGAGCCCTGCAGAGGCCGAGAAGGAGAGGTGACCTTCGAAATCCGAGAGCGACATGGAGGGTAATTTTGGAAAGCTGCATGTCTTTTTTTTTTTAATAATTAATAATACTGTGCATGCAGCACGCTCTTCTCTTTACGCGCATACAAGGAGAAGCCGAGATCTCTCGAAACGCTTGTTTAGAAAATAGAAGACGCCCTCGTAAATCGACACTTCAGGGATAAAATATCTATAGAAATACTTTTCTCCGTTTATCTCAATGTAGATGGCATTACAATGAACGAAAATCCGTTTCCGCAATGGAATCGTAGGTAGGATAAAATCGGTTTTTAGACTTTTGATTATAAAGGCAAGAAGTTGTTCCCCCAGGTGCAGTCGATTCGTATGCAGCGCTTGCGCGGCTCCTATTACTTGCCATGTACATACCTTCTGTATACCTTCAGTATACCTTGGAAAGTTACGGCGGGGTTTATTGCTTCCACTTAAGTACCACCGTAGGTACCAATAGTACCAATATCCCGTTGCATCCTCGAGGTATACGTGCCCTGTCCAGAAATGCAGACCCGAGGTGTACATTCTGCCAGAATGCCGGTTATATGGGAAGTCGTAACTTAACCCTCGACCACGAAATATCGTTTCAGGACTCGGGCCGATCTCTTGCTTGGGAGAATGCGAGGTCCTCCACTTTCGGCTTTCAGCTTGGCCTTGGACTTTGTTTCTTGACAAATTTCCTCATGCAAATTTTACGCCGCCTGCATGAACACTCGTATGCATAGAAAATCTGCACGCCTAGAACTTCGCTTCCTTCACCTGGGACTTCCCAAAAGAAATGGAAGCCTCTAAATTTTCGAAATCTCCCGATTTCGGCAGATCTTCCCTCTTCGGGTTCTTCTTCGTGAATCGCTTCTACGAGGTTTAATTTTAATCCTCTGCGCGAAGGGAGAAATCGCAGAATTTTACGGCCACTTTGTGCTTTACTTTTTAATACTCTTAGTGCTACACTTGCTGCGCTGCATTTCATGGCAATTCTCACTTTGGGAAACGTTTCATAGGTTGACTCTCGATGTCAATGTGGCGTCAGAGGTCTCGATTATGAAACTTTTCTCCAAACTGGATACACCGAATCCTTCCTAACGATTCGGTGCACCCAGTTCGGAGTTTTATGCACGATTGACCAGTAAGACGGAACTTTCGCAACCCCTTAATTAAAATGCATATCCTCCTCATTTTCCAGATGACGAGGGAATAGCCGAGTCAGGAATGTGACCGGCCTTCAATCCTTGAAAACTTGGAATTTGCGCTCGCCGTTTCCGGTCTCCGGAGAGGAAAACAGGATGTTCCTGATACCCTGGGTCCAGGGAGACAGGAATCCGCAGGAAGCGTTTCCAGGACTCCAAAAGTCCGCTTAAGGCGCAAGGACCTCCACATTGTGTCCAGACTGCGAAGGAAGGATTTCGCGGAGTGAACCACCAAAAAAGAATGATCCTGGACCTGCCATCCCAAATTGGTCCATGATCTCTGCAATCTGCAGATCGAGGATGTCATGAGCTTCAAAAAGGAAGCATCGACATTGATTATCTTGTACATAGAGAAGCATCCGCATCGGCGAACTTGTACATAGGGAATCTCGGAATGAGAGGACTCGAGAGGAGAATTTGTGAAGAACGCATTTGTTGAACACTGAAGTGAACACACGATGAAGTATTCAGTCGATATCCTTGGTCATTTCGATATCAATTCCATGTCATTTAGATGGACAGTGGTCGGTACATATCATTCGGAAAATCAGGAGAAAATGTCGATTTGACTGCATTTATGCAAATCCTCGTTTGAAGTTGACGCTGAGAATGAGACGGTGAAGTTTGTATGAAGCAAATGTCGATTCCTCGGCTCGTGAGTTTGGGAGGTGATCGAAAATTGACATATCGAATGGTTGACGAGCTTCTGCCGAATCGCCTGCAGCTAAAAGACACGGTAGCGGTGTTGGGGATAGAGTTCCGCGCCAAGTGCACACGAAGAGTGGCTGCATCCGTCCAACAGTCCGATGGAATTAGTATTCTCGTTTTCTTAATCAAACTGATCGATTGGATACGCTTTTGTATCGGAACGTGCGGAGATCGAAGACAGAGATTGGAGGGAGCAAGAATCACTCATCATTCTCCTAGCCATATCATTTTTCTTCCCGTCATCTACGGAGGAGATATTTATCAATGCTGAAGAATTATTGTAATCGAGGGGTAGAGTTTCTTCCAATATGGTAGATGGTAGATACGTAATTTGAAAAATTGTCGACACTTGGGACATATATTCTTTACTGGAGGCTGTTGAATAAGAACGTGGAGAATCTAAAAAATTAATAAATGCTATTGCCCGTGGAGATAGTCGGGCGAAAAGAAGTGCAACTATAACGAAGGGACTAAAAGGTGGAACAGATTTAGAGATGTAGCTTCAGAACGACCAAAAACAGAGCTTTCGATGTCAGGTTAGAGAATCGAGGATCATCGCGTGTGTATAGGGACTCGACCGAGCTGAGTCTCGCGCCAAGTACACGAGGACACTTCGGTATCTAGTTTTCCCAAAGTGGCCACAGTGGTTGATTAAATACTCTTTTTAGGACCAGGTATACGTCAGATCAGTGGGAACAAGAAACTCGCATCTTCGTAGGAGCCATATCATTGTTTTCTTTCCCTCTTTCGCTGAAGAAGTGCCCAAGGTTTCTCTATTCTTATCACGTAATATCATACCAGATTGTGTCGTTCATTGCAAAAAGAATAGTATTCGATGATCTGAAAATTGTGTATAGTTTTTGGATGAGGGATAGATAAAGGGGACTGATGGGATTCGAAATTTTGATAGAATCTCAGTTTAAGCGTCTTTCGTATCGCACATGCTTGCAGCGTATATGTCCTTAAGCATTAACAATGACAATGGACAGCGTGATAACGCTTTTCCAAAATGGCCAAAGTTTCAAAATCGACTCTCAGCACTTGTTCCATCGCCTTTAGATAAATCCGAGAACATTACATCACAGCTGATAGTAAATTTTGGAGCGCTACTATGATAAAGCGCCGTCGATTTACATCGATCAGCCTTTTATATCGCCATATTAAGCGCAAAGGACATAAATCAGGATCTTCCAAATGTGAAATCCTTTCCAAGGGCATATCACGATCACTATGGATTTTAATAATTACGCCAACATCTTATACATACGACTGCATGATTTCTTATATTTTATTAATTATGACTTTTGCGCTTTGAATGGCACTATTGTACATACAATGTTAACCGGAAGGTCGCGGATCTGTTTCCCATCGAGATATTATTATTATTAGGGATTTTACGTATCATTGTTACTGTTATTAGTTATTACGTTATCATCACCGTCCTCGAGGTTGCGATTACGTTCGATAAGCAATCGGTTGTTTCAAATTCACCGAGTATTCGGAGGGGTCCTGATTTCGTACTTGAAGTGTACACAGGTGAAGTGATACCGATTTGTACATGCGAGCGAATTGATACATGGTAACTTTAGATTTAAGAGGTCCCATAAGATAACTTAAGGTACTTTGCGTTATTCTGTGATAAAGACACGATCGTCGAGCATCGAGATCTGATATCAAATCGTAATCGAGGAATGTACAGAGCCACATCCATTTTTTATCAATTTCGTTCCAATTAGATCCAGGCTCAAAATATTTACATACAAAACATCTCACTGGCATCGTATAATAAAGTGACAATTCTCGTTTTTTATTTAACAAACTTGATTAATGATTTGATTTTCGTGCGCTAAGTTCGCGTTGTACTTCAAGTATTAATAATGGAATTAATTTTGGTCGCTCCTGTGTAAGGACTTATTTTTAGATCTCTATTTAGGAACGAACGCGATTATTTAATTTGTTTGTAATATCGTTTGGGAATGGTTTTTGCAGAATTTATTAAAAATATCTTTGCTCTCTTGGGAAATTACGTGACATGTCGAATTTTAATTTCTTTTAACTCTTTGAGAAGACTTCTCGATTGCGTCTCACAGCGGAGACGCTGCTTTTTGTACTTAAGAAATGTACGTACCACGTAGAAAAATTAACTGGATCAACGACAGCTTGATTAATTGTACGTAATAGTTATGCAATTGTCGAATTAAAATGGCAGTTCTGTACTGGTAAAAAGACCGTTAAACGAGAGAGCGGTGGAAATTAATAAAGTGATTCTTCCAAAGAAACGTTTTCTTTCCATTTCTCCCGTGTACTTATATAATTCCATAATCCTTCGAAAAACACCACTGTTGTAAAAAATGTACCAAAACACATTTATCTATCCCCAATTAACAATTAACTCGAATCAACTGTTCTAACTATAGCTATACAAATTCCACTCCAATAATGCAGTAATATTTAATTTCCTTATAAGTAATTTTATCAGACCGTTAACATAACTTTCTTGCTTTTTTCAATTGGAGAACATAATTTAACTTTATATACGTTTTGTAATTTTTGTACATGGTGAATGATTTTTTATCCGATTTGAAGAATTTCGGTTTCAACCTGCAAGAGTAGCATTTTCGAGATCAGATTTTGCAGCATCTTCCATGTGCAGTAAATTCATTTGTTAATGAATAATTAAACGTCCAGTGGAGACCTTATGATAGGTCTAGGCTTCGGAGGATTTGCAGCAGAAGAGGTCCTGTTTCCGGATGTCAAATTTGCCATTATCCTCGAAGCCAATGGCGGTTTTGGAGGTAAAGTTTGATGTTTAATACTCGAAGAGTTTGTTCCAGTTTGCAAGTCGGGTTCACTCGTGACATTCAATCCGGATGTACGACCTGCAGGTACAATAATTCCAAACATTCATTATCATTGTATTTTTCATTTTTAAACTAAACTCAATATAAATAAATTTGTAAATAAACGTTTCTCTGTCTCGGACCAGAAGATTTTTTTTCATACCCTCCTTTTGCAAAATGCATGACATTTTGTACTCTGAAACTAAATTAACGTGTAAATTTCGAAACGTTTGACAAGCTAAACGAAACCAGCTCTATTATATTAAATTAACATTTTAAATTCGTTGCATTATTATTTGCATAATTAGTATTTAGAAACAATCGAAAAATGGACCACGATGAAGGATTCTGTAGAGGTCGGCGAACATCAAATTTGCAATTGTTCATGAAATGTAATTAATAGGAGGAAACATTAAAAGGAGATATGTAGTATTCGGAACTTTCTTTTCAATTGACTCAGCATCTTAGAAAAAATTCCTCGAGATCGGTCATCCTTGTTCGCGTTATTATCCGAGGAAGAAGGACTCTTCCTTAACCCCCGCGTCAAGGAACTCGCTCTAGCTTGAGAAAAGAGTTTCCTTGGTGCCCCGTCCTTGTCGATCAATTTCAGCATCCTTCCCAAAGAATTAGTCTTTTCCTTCCTCGAAGGCTGCTCGCCATATTGCTCGTAACCGGGCAGACCGCCCTACAACGAAAAATAGACATCACAAAGTCAAAATTGAGATTATGAGTATGATGGTGGGTGGTGAGTAAGTCGACCACCCATTCTTTCTCTCCGTCAAGACGAAAGAAGTACCAAATATGAGGGACTTGCAGGATCTTGATCTTGACAGGATGTCCTTTCTTCTCCGGGAATTGGAGGTCGCGTTTTGAACATTTTTCCCATCCTGCCCAAAGTCGCGCTTTTCAACCTCCTAGCATTCTCGTTGACCGTCTCGGCCCTGGGAATCCTTCGGAACGTGTTATCGGAATATCTCGTCGCCGAAGTGCTTCTGCAAGGACCCGTCATAGGAGGTAATGTCCTTACAGATTCAGGAACTTCAGGACTATCGGTTGCGGTGTATTTGGACATCGTACTCATGCGAGCAGTCTTTGCCTGTAATTTAATGAATAAGAATAGACACAGTCTAAGTGTAATTGTATCGCCTTATTTTGCTAAATAAAATATTATATTATCATAATTACGATCTTTTCCTTAGAGTCCTTCTTTCGATTGGGGCTCTTATTTTCCCTCTCTTTTGTTTTCAACTTCTCCTCTTCTTCGGCCTTTAAACGTTTTCGAAGTGCGTCTCCGTCCTGTCCTGTCTGGAAATCTTCCCACGGGATAGCCTCTTCCTGGAGGTCCTCTTCCCGTGGCGGTATATCGTCCTTCAGAAGCTGCGAAAATTGTTTCTCCAAGGAAGAAATATCTACTATTAATGGACTCGAGTCGTCCCGTTCGTGCGAAACTGCGGATGCAATTTCTCCTTTCTCTGCGTCCCGAAGAGGAGCACTTTCCTCCAGGATATGAGATATTTCGGGCTCTTCCAGGCGAGGCGAGTTATCACTGGATTCGGAGTGATAAGGTCCTGGATGGTTACCGTAGAAGTCGGAGAGATTTTCCAGATGATGATCGCCCTGCTTGATCTCCTCCGGATCGAATTTCGATTTCGAGCAATCCCCTTCTGTCATTCCTTGGGGTAGCTCGGATATTCTGGATATCCTGAATATCCGATAATCTCGAGTTCTCGCTCTTACTAATCGACGTGGGGTCTCCCTCGTTCCGCAGTTTCGATGGAGCCTTTTTATCTCGACGTTTTAACGGTGACAACGCGCCACGTCAAAGTTGTCACTTGTCTTCATCTCGAAACAAAATCTGAAATGGTGAACCTGGCAAAGGGTCGACTCGTTAAGGACGTAGCATATCGTAAAAGAACATTTAAAAGAATGTCTATTTCGAGAAAATATATACAATCGATAGTTCATTTTTTAATACGAATGATGACACGTGCCGCGTTATGCTTATTCAGGGTATGTACATCAATACGGAAATATGGAATTTAGGGAGGTAGTAATTTTGAATGGGAATTAATATCGGATCGTTAGGGGATTATGCAGGATTCCATGGAAGGGAGCGTTTAAACATTAACGAATGCAAAATGGGAGCGAATGTCGCAAATGTTGAAGGCGCGACTCGGCTGGCCTTGAACTTTAAATTGAAACGTAAATAAAAGAATCACCCCTAGGCCGTTGATTCTACCCGGTTTTCCGCGCATGCAATCAGCTGCACACGGCACGTGAAGGTGTACGCCAAGTACGCAAACGTGAAGGACGCAAGGTAGGATTCTTGCAGAGAATGGTGGGGACCGAAGCGAGTCCGACGATCAGTCGGCGGCAAAGATCCGTCGCGCGCGCGTCGCACGGCGGACCTCACGTCGATCGCCTCCACTGTGGCGCTCCTCCGGAAAACTTCGATGTCAGTGACTGTCGAACATCATGAAGATAATTTCAAATAATGCCCCATTGCTAGATACCATTAACGCCATTTTGGCCAATCTCGCAAAACGATTCCAGTGTCAATCATGATGAAGTTTTCATGATAATTTGCGGTTGGCGTTAATTTAGAAAACCGTCGAGCATTATGAAGTTTCCCTGATAATTTAAGATAATACCCTGTTAATTCATTCGAAAGTTCTATTTTAGTGACCCGCGACCATAATGAAGTTTTCTTCATAATTTCAGATAATTTAGGATTGGTCGCCTCCACTGGCGCCACGTCAGTTCACTTCGCTAAACTTTAAGCACGGTGACTGTCGACCGTGATGAAGTTTCATTGATAATTTAAGTGAATTCACGATTGATCGCTGCCATTGGCGCCACCTCGGCTAACTTCGGAAAACTTCGACTCCAGTGTTCCACAATGAGGACGAAACGTCGTTTTTAATTCACGATAATTGACAGCCGACTAAAGGTCGATCGCCTCCACTGGCGCCAGTTTGACTAACATTGTAAAGCTTCTATTTCGGTGACTGTCAATCGTGATCCAGTTTGAGCGTTAATTTTAAATAATTGACATTTGACGATCGCTTCGGCTAGACCCATTTCCTGGTTAAGTTTGGACATTTATGCCATTAAATTGTTTCCTCGCAGCAAACTAAGCAAGAATTTCAAGCCGGACTTCGCGGTGACCACATCTACTGGGATTACTAAACTTCAATAAACTTCGACTCAGTGCTCGACAAGAATGACGAAGTTTTCATTAAAATTTAACAGCAGTGCAACTTGATTGCAGCGAAGTGAAATTTAAATTACATGGACATTTGGATATTTCTCTTCAACTTTGGTGAAGTTTGGGAGTGAACTGAAAAAGGGGGGATGATTGTATTCAACGACCTCAGGATATTTCCGAGGATAAGGAAGGGTCGAACGTTTCGCCCAGTTTGTGAAGTTTGCTATCCTCGATTGGGACTTTCAATACTTTCCGCGAAATTGCGGATATGAATTGCGGCGTAAAGAGGAAGAGTGAAGCGCAGTCGGTCGAAATTGCGAAGTTAAACGAAGCGGCAAACCGGAAGGGGCTGCCCTGATGAAGTTTGCCGATGAAAGAGACGATGACTCCGAAAGTCTTCGCAGGAACTTAATTCATGCGAGAGTTAGGAAACTTCTTAAGAAAGAAGATGAACAAACCGGAAGAAAAACACGCATCTACTCCATAACTTGGTCAGTGATTAAACAAATTAAGGATTAAATCTCTTATTTAAGCAACTTGAAGATTTGTTCTCCGAGTTTCAGAGAAATTCTAACCGTTAATTCACCGTCAATATTAAATAGAAAAAATAATGTGACGTCGTGTGTACGTCGGAAATGGTGTCATTGAGATCTATGATAATTTGACAGGAAACCACTGGGACCTTAATTTTTCGAGTGGCATGATAGAAAAGCGATTCCCGAGAGAGTTCCCACGAAAGTTCGTAAAATCCTGGAAATCTCCACTTTACGATCTTACTCTCGACTTTAATGGCGGGCAAACTCCTACTTCACCTCCTGAGACTATTACCAAACAAATGAAGTGCGATAGTCTTTATCAATGAACAGTCAATTGACATTAATCTAAAAAAAAAGTGATTTGGTGAAAGTCAATAATCGCGCACGCAGAAACATACACTGAAGCTACCTCTACTACCTTCACTCTAAACGTCACACAAGCAATTAATATTAAAATACTTCTTAAAATAATTGCCAATTAATAAAGAGGGAAAAAAAAAATTGAATATCGCCGAAGAAGCTTCACGATGTCATTTGAAAACTATGACGTCACGCGGCCTCGAACATCAATGGAACAGTGGGACCAACTCGAAGAACCTGAAGTGATATCAGCTTCGCGATACTCCAGATTTTCCGAGGTGACTTCCAGTGTCTCTCCCGGGGTGAACGCGTCGGTTTATCCCGTCATTCCCACGGGAAATGGCAGTCTCCTGGAGGGCCTCATCGTGCCATTGTACGCAGTCATCTTTTTCCTCTCTGTCATCGGAAACGCACTGGTGCTTATCACTCTAGCACGCAACAAAAGGATGAGAACAGTCACCAACGTCTATCTCCTAAACTTGGTGCGTATTATATTTCTTCTACTTGTAGTTGTCCGTTGCACTCTACGTCGAGAAAATATTTCATTTACCCAAGGAAATGTTTCGTTTGAATGTTGTTTGTATTAATGGACCGGCAATTGCAAGGATCGTGTTAACAATGAATTATTTCGCATTCCAATTTCCTGCAAAATGAATGAATTAATTCACCACGCGAAGCAGCTCATTGTTGTTCCGAGGCGTTTAATTAATTACGCGAAGTAATCCTCTGGTCTGGGGAAAGTGTTTATAATTAATTAATTTTTGCATAGAACAAGAACTATTAACCTCAGCAATTCAGGAATAAATACATCCATTGGGAGAACGAGAAGTCCATTAAACATAAAGACTTCTAGTCACGTGACGGCGAAGAAAACCATTTCCTTGGGATAATTGATTGTTGGAATGTCGCGTCACATGATGTAAATTATGTTCGGTGATAATGATGTCATGTAAATCTTGAATATTCTCGGGAATGGAAAAGGACGTATCGTACATCGAAAGAAAGCAAAGAAAGAAAGTAACATTGTTTAGACCAGAATAAAGTGGAATAAAGTGATAAATGAAGATCACGTTGATAGGGAAATAGAACTGAAATTTGGTTTAAAAATCGAAACCAGGATCAGAATCAAGACAAAGACAAAGAGAGGCAGACAGAGGATAGATTTACTTGAAGCTATGCGTATGTGTGAACGACATAAATATAGTCTGGGGAATATGTCAGGTGCACACGGTTGACTATTAATTCGCTCTCTGTTGTAATTCGAATTGAATTTGAACCTTGAGGTCGTGTTGGTACTACTAAGGAGTTATGCCAATTATGTCGAATAGGCGAATCCTCTCTAGATTGTGCCCCGAAAATTCATGCACTTGCCAATTAATAATGCCGAGCTATATTCGGCAGAGGTTTCAGATTTGATGATCAATTTAAAAAGAGAATGCAATGAGGTGTTTTTTTTTCAGATTTCACTTTTTTCTGTCAAACTTGGAAAAATGAGATTTAATAAGGAACAAGTAAAAGTAAAGTAGATAACGAAAAATTGGGAGATGGATCGGGTCCAATCGAGGCACGCGATCTCTTCGTGAGAATATTTCAAAGAAGCGTTTAAAGTTTGGCCGATACCTCTTTACGAGCGGTAATGTTAAGTTGGCGAAAGTTTGCAGGGCAAATCGCGTACATAGGCATCTCGACGTCACCTATCTCGTGATAGCAGCTCGAAACTTTTCCTCGTAACGAACGGTTCGCTACTTTCCAGCATCCATTTTCCGGAATCGCCCGCTCGCACCTCGCCTCGAGACTTTTCGAATTATTTATGCCCGAGCTTTGCTTTTCCGATTTTTCGTTCGCTCGCACCCTTAGAGAGGCAAAATGGTAAAACTGGTCGAGTGCGAGAATTTTCTCCGAGCATCGAAGGAACGAGGAAAAGGGAAGAAGAAAGTGACCAGGAGGAAGTTTCCGAAGTGCCGATTCTGACGTTTCGGAAAATTGGATGTAGAGATTGGGACTTTACGTTCCATGATGGAAGAAATCCTTCCTAAGGGGCGACGGGGTGAATTTGGACAATTTTTCATATATTTCATCCGACAAATTTCTGCTGTATTTTCGAACGTCAGTGCTCTCGTAGTACGGGAAGAACTTCATGAAAATTGTCCCCGCGTTTCCCTCCCGAAGGAATTGTCCTCCTTTTTCTTTGCATAAGAAGAGTTCCTCAGGGAATTGCGGTCACTTTGTCGGCTTCGCGCGATGCAACTTATTTCTGCCATCATTTTATGGCAAGACGGAAATATCCTGTAAAATTATCGCGAATCTACCGAGATATCAAACGTTCGTCAGTCACGCTTTGCGTTCTGAAAAACGCATCGCTTCTTGCATTTCTCAACAAAATTGGAAGTACACGTTGCACCCTTATTTACATTTTTAAATAAGGTAATTTCTTAAGCACATATTTTTAAACAATCTGCTCACAATAAATTTTCCTAAATCCAAATTCACGCACATATCTTACAGATCTTACAATATTTATACATTGTGTGATTTAAAAGAAATTATGCAGAACGTTTCTGGCGGCCTAAATTGACTGGAAAGTGTCAGATATACGTGAGTTGAAATGAGGAAAGTTCGACACTGCTTAAGTGAGAAATGACGATCTTCGCTTCGCCCTTAAGAAATGCCTGACGTTGCTCGAATTTCTGAAGGAATGCCAGAAGAAGTTTCCTTCAAGTGGAATACTTCTGTCTGGATACTTCTTGGATACTCGAAATTCCTTAATTTACAGAGAAAGTGGTTTCAAGAAGAGCAAAGTAATTTCGCGTAACGACCATTGTAGACATTTACAACTTGCTGCTGTAAACATTTGCAATTGGGGTTGTAACTCTGAGCTTTTACAGTGATACTTAATTGTTTAATACGGTACTACTCTTGCCAATTCCCGAAGAGAAGTCATAACCTCTCCGAAATGTGATCCCTGTATTTGTCCGTAATGGCTTACAATTACCGCAATTGCGGCGCCGGCAAATTTTCATTCCTTTCCCGAGTCCGCTTAATTCCGGCAAAATGTGGCCCGGTATTTCGACAATGCTGAATTAATTAGCATAGCTCCGTTTAATCCTCTTTGGGAGGTTCATCCCGGTTTTTATTAATTTTTTCCCCCGCCGGCGCTTTTTTCTCCCGTGTCATGGCGCTTACGTTGGCTCGGATAAATAACGAGGTAAAATTAGGGAGATGACAGTAAGCCCGCTAAGTCGCATTACCCCTCCCTGAAAATAAATCGATAATATTTCTCCGCTACAGCCAGCCTCCCATTACAAAATCCATCGCAAACAGATCCCTAATAAACGTTTAAGAGGATGCGACCTTAAAGGAGCGGGACGGTATATCGTCGTTCGACGCTAAGAGGGTTGAATAAAAATGGGAAACAGAGAAAATAAAATTGCAGAATTCATTATCAGAGTGATGAGATGTCAAGTTTCGATAAATCGATAGGTGTCAATTTTGTATTATTCCCAATTTACTATTGACAATGCGGCTGTCGAGACATCACGCACAGCTCGTGACAAATGGAATCCCGGTGGGTGTAGTTCCTGGGAGTGAAATGTCTGTTATTCAAATGGGAGTCGTCAATGGATGAAGCTCCGAAGTTTGATCCGCGAACACTTTAGATGATTGGCTTTTCATGCTTCTCGGTTTCCTCCAATTCCGCCCATAATCTCTCGGGACAATAGTAAAGTAAGTTAGCGCACGTCTGGGAACGCGTTGACCGGTTAACTTTGCAAACTTCCCAAAACGGTCGGCATACTTCACTGGCGTTTCCACTTCCGTTCCGCAAACGCAGTTAGTCTGGAAATTCCGCAGACCGCCGTCAAAGTTGTCACGACGGATCCATGTCCTCGACAAAGGATTTCTTTCCTGCGGGAATCAGTCCGGAGGTTCCCTTCGGCCCGAACGTCTTCATTTCCGGAAGTAAACCAAATTTCATCTCCCCGGACGGTGCGGAAGGGCCGCAAGAATTCGTCAGCATCGAAGATAAAGACCTCTAGGATTTATTAATCCGCGGAAACTGCTTTCGCCATGGTCTTAAATCACCCAAAACGCCCGCCCTCCCTTGGGGGTTTCTACATCAAAGGTGCATGTGGTAGTGTGTTGCATGTATCACGGATGCTGGATCTACAAGGGGTCAAGGGAGTGAAGATACAATCGCGAGTTCTCCACCACCTGGAGGACCCTTTGGATTCTCACAGGGATTTATGGTGGAAATTGTATAAGCTTCACCATGGGGCAATTTCTGAAGAATTGTGCATTTCATTGGACGAACGTTTCGTTTTACGGGGGCATCCACATTATGGGCGCTTTGGATTTATTAATCCGCGGAGATTGCTTTTGGATTTCCAATTCAAGAGCTGTATGATCACCGAGAAGAAAAATTCATTGAACAATTATTATCCTATCCAAATTGCCATGATTCCGGAAAAAAAAAGTGTTGCGAGATTGTAAATTCGATACTAGCTAAAGGAAAAAAAAAAAAAAATAGAAGATCGTGAGTTGGATTCCAGAAAAGCCCCATAGGACTCCTGTAAATGAAATGTCTACACTATGTACACGGGGTTTCCCATGGACTCTTGAAATACGAACACTCCGGGGAGTCTTGACTGATTTAAAACCAACGTGCAACCGAGGACTATATTTCTTCGATTTTATTATACGGTTTCTTTAGCCCCATTCGAAGAAATAACTTCTTTGAAAGGGAAAGAAATTGTTCCGAATGTACCGTGAATTTTGTCCAGATTTGTTAACTCCGAAAAGTGGCTGGGATGGTTTTAAATCAGGATCCACCCTTCCCAGGAGCGTTCGTATTTCAAGAGTCCTTATACAGCTCCCTGCACGTACCGCGGATACTCTATTTGCGAAGATCCTGGGGGGCTAAGGTAGGATCGTAAGTTCGGTACCAGGTGGACTCCTTGTTTTCCTGAAAGATACTGCGGAAGGGGATGAAACAGCGAGGCACTGGCCGAAAAGAGTGTGAAGGAAAATCTCGAGGGTTCCTTCAAATTTATTCCGAGGGGATGGATCGCTTGCCAGGATCCAATATAGACTCGCAGTTACGCCATGTTATCCTCGGCAAGGACTCTTTCGAGGGACCCATCTCTATTTTTTATTTCGCTGTACATTGAGAAAAAAAAAAAAAGTCGAGTGACTCTAAGAAGTATGCATTGCAACAATAAAATCCTGTAATTTCCAAGTATACACCAAAAATCTAAATTTAATTCTGCAAAAGTGAGACGTTATTTGTTGCCAGCTGGTCGTAAAAACGTAGATGTGTCGTGCGATCTGCAAGTCTTAAAGTGATCGCTCGATGTACAGCAAATCGATCGATCGAAGCCCAGATTCGGGTATAAAAGCCCACTCGGTGCGATTATGTGCTATCGTTATTCCATTAGGCGATAAGAGATGCACTTATATGCTCTTAGGTGAATACATGCACTTCGTGTTTACAGGGATCAACGATCTCAGAGGTTAACTTGCAATTTTTATCCCCGTGCCGTAAATGGCTTATCTCGAGAGTGGAAATTTTGTTATCTTTAAATGCATACGGGGGAGAAACGTTTTTATCTAACGGAGGATGATGGGAAACCTTGTTCAGTTAATTAATAACTTCCTTGAATCCAAAGCCGTGGTATGGATTCATTGCAAAACCCATATTGCGGACTATTATGTATCTGTTAATTTGCTACGGGTTATGAAATGTGATACGGATTATTTTCAATTTTTATATTTAAAATTTCAGGCGGTGTCGGACTTGCTGCTCGGCGTCTTCTGTATGCCGTTTACGTTATTGGGGCAAATGCTGAAGAATTTCGTCTTCGGCACGACGATGTGCAAGCTCATACCGTACTTTCAAGGTAAGATTCCTTAAAATCGTCCGAGAATTCACGTCTCGTAGTCGGGCGAATAAAAAGCAGCACTCGAGAGGCAGAAGCTGCCGTCAAATTGTCCTGGAATGTCGAATATTGGATGTTCCCCATTATGCGTTAACATCGTCTCACAGGCTCTGACAAAAGCCGCCATTACAGAACGGATGCCCCAGGGATGATTTCCTTTTCCTGTGTCTCATTTAAAAATCATTTAAATTTTTAAAGAGGTACATTAGAGACCACATTATTCCGTAACCATTTGTTAAGTAAATTTTCTCGGAATGTAGGATGTTTCATTCGCTAAGATTGTTCTGAATTATTCCCATTTTGGCGTTTCCAGGAAATTACATCGTTACCTTTTACGAGTATGTCATGAATTCCGTAGGAGAAAGTAATACCTTTTTTCTTTTACACCGGGTGTTCCATCGAATTTTATCACCTGAGCCATCTCCCGAAATTTCAAATTTAGGAACAGATCTGCAGGGTGGAAGTTGGGCAATATCAAAGACAGCAATATCAAAGATGGCGCAAGTTATACAGATCTGTTTTTACGGGGTCGCATATTTTTGTAGTATCAAGGCAGGTGAAATTTTTTATTCCCCGTCGTTTTTTCGAGATTGCCAATTTCCGCTTGATATTGAACTTCGCGCGTTCGACGATTTTACCAATGTTAAAAACTATTATCTTGAGCAAGAAAATCCATTGAGCCAATTTGAACTAATTTATACATATCTACCCTAACTCAAGTTTTGGTTATAACATTAATATCGTTACATTAAAATCAGACAGAAAAACAGCGTTAATAATTATTGCGTGATAATTCGCACCCTGTATCAGCTATGTTAAAAAAAAAATCTGTACCATTTTTCCCTGTTTTTTTTCTGAACATGCTCGAGACATGTGTCGATTTTCGCGTAGAAAACACTTCCTTTTCATCCAGGTAACTTACGGGTGCCGCAAAAGTGGTCCATTCAGGATAACGTCGAGTCACCGCCATTGTGCCTTAACATCGGCCCACTTCGCGCTTCCGTAATAAACCCGCGAAGTTACGAAACTCGCTCGTCCAAACGTGGCTCGAATCGATTTTACATAACGGCCGACATGACGACGCGTTTTTTTGTCACGAAGGCCTGACGAGAAAAATGCACCTTAAGGCGGGAGATCTTTCCCTCGATGACTGGCTAAGAAGAAAGAAGTGCGCTTTCCGACGCGGCATGAAGTTGCGGGCACTTCGTAGGCGGGAAATGACTTTGTAGAAAGTGGGCTCATTTGCAGATTTCCATGTACAAGACTATACATAACTGCCTCTTGTATTATCGCAGGATTTAATTAATCATGAAAAAACATGACGACCCTTCCCAGCTTAACCTCAGCTTGGCTGAGTTTCGCGCCAAGCATATTTTTCGATGTACGCAACGAATGAATGCACATCCATATTAGAATTTATTAATGCTCATATGTGTACTCAAAGGGTGGAATGAAATTCATGGAATGAAAAATGGAGGGAAAGGTCGTGGAAAGAAGAATGCAGTGACGCACACGGCACTACCTTCTGGCACACACGTTTTCTCACATATGATAGTGAATTAGGTACATATGTGGAAGTGTCGTCATTCTCTGGAGAGCATGGAGAGAGACTTACGGAGATACCTAGGAATTCTCACTTCGAGATGGTACAACGCACACTTACACACCTATGCCTTCTAGTCTGTCCTACATTTTGCCACATACGAACGTCCTAAACGTCCACCTGAACAAATGTGTGCACATGTGTGGGTGTGTGGGATAAAAGTACGACTGGGAAAAGGTAATCGCAGCACGCGCCCCTGGCAATGCAGTATATCATACGTGGCTGAAGTGAAGTTTCGATTCTAGACGCGAGGGACGTGCTTCACTTCCTACGTACTTCATACGACAAGGAGACTTCCATATTTCATCCTAATTCCTTTGAATTTTAAAATGCACCTTCTGAAGAAAGTTGCCCACATTGTATATATAAATCTATCATTTTTATTATTTTTTGTCGGTGACAAAATAACAACCTTTTTCAAATAGAAAAATACTCGTAACTTGACGTCGGTTTTGTCGTCCGATATAAAAAACGAGAATGTCCAGAATTATACTCTCCATTTTCGAAAAACTGCTTGTATATTATCTCGGAAAAAGTGTTCCTCGTGCAGGTCTCGCAGAGCAATATCGAAAATGGCTTTCCAAAAGATATATCCGCACTCGGCCACCGGTGGTCGATTCGGCAGGAAGTAACGTAGGAAAGGTGAATATAAATGAGAATAAAAATTCAAATGTCCGGTCTTCCTCTTTTCGTGCGCCTTCGAAATCCGTTAGAAGGCGCAAGCACGTTTTCGGTCGAGGGAAAGAAGAGAGAAAGATCGAGGGAAAGTATTAAATGGTAATACTTTCGCCAGAGATCCCGCACTCCTTCTTCGCGAACTGTGGAGAATAAAACATTTTCTAATCTTGTCCGGGGAAATTGACTTCGGAATATTGCCACTGTTTTCCTTCCCCCTTTTTCCCTTTGGACGTGACATTCCTCTTCGATGTCGCTTTAGAGAGAAAGGGGAAAACTCGGCAGACGTAATCACAAATGACGAAATACACCTGAAACGGATCTCTGATAATTTGGAGATTCGAACTCGCGTTAACGCTCCCAATTTATCCTTCGTGGTCCACCAGTGCTACATCAACGGCTCAATTGTCCGAGCTCTCGTTTCTGGCCACGAAAAGGAGATTTCGGACACCAGGGTCAACCCCGGTCGTAAGTATTTCGGCAAGATGGCGTCGTTAACTTTACGACCGTGGCGAAACACGTCGGCAGAACGGGACACTTCGGAATGACCTTTGCCACGGAAATAGTCGGGTGTGATACCGTCAGAATAATTCTTAATCCATTTGACATAAACTGGACACGGCAGTAACGGACTAAAACTCCAATTTCAAAGCCGCGAGCTGCAATAAAAAGTGGAGCGCTGTTAACTGTGTATTTAAATTAGATTTATAATTAATCCTGCATTTGTAGACTTAATTCATGTATGCGACATTTGCACGAGTGTTTTTAAGGTAAAGGTAACGTAGGTTATTGTTTATTGTTACGGAATTGGTTTTATGAAGGGTGGGTGTAGCGGGTACCAAAATGGCCGCCGCGCATTCTTACGTGGTTCTTCGTCTTTCTTCTGATTTCAGCGGTTTCGGTGTCCGTTGGGGTATGGACGTTGGTTGCCATTTCTCTGGAGAGGTATTTCGCCATTTGTCGGCCTCTCAAGTCAAGACGGTGGCAAACGCAATTCCATGCATACAAAATGATCGCCATTATATGGGCGGCCAGCCTGACGTGGAACGCTCCCATTCTGGTAGTTTCCACTTTGAAGAGCATTCGCGGTGGTAAGTGAATAAATCTAAACTTTAGTTTGCCCTCTAAACAATGGCTCGCAAATTTCCCGATAAAAGGAACCCGCGTCTAATTTTCATGATTTTATATATACAGAAATATTGACAATTCTGCTAAATAAAGAGCCGAGAACAATAAGTCATCTTTCATTGGGAATGCATTTACTTTGATATTGAATTGGGTGCAGTTTGTATTTAAGGTTCAATTTTTATGGTTTTATTATTAATTAAAATATTTTGCCCAGGCTTAACGTACGAGAAAATGGAAATAAAAATGTGAAATAAAGACGAATAGAAATTTGGGTTCTTATCAGGGTAGCATTGTTGGAGGGCTCTTCTAGGTTTCTATCGGCGGTATCAGGAATTCCCGATATCCTGCTATGAGACACTCCAGGAATTTCTAGCACATCGAATTCGCATTCTTGAAGCGCGATACCAAGTCTACGAGACATGTCGATGTTGTTTCTCAGCTGCTGCGAATCGATCGTCCTCATACATGTCGGCGAATTTCATAAACTTGATGTCAATTTAATAAACCATTCCATGGTTTATGGATTAACCGATTTCACTAAAGGTGTGGAAAAGTGGAACTTGCCGGAAGTCGAGGTCGGCGAAAAAGTAAAAATTAATATGGATCATTCAAGCCGGAAGAGAAAGGGTGAAATAATTCGATAAGACTAAGATAATCGGACTTTCATAACTTTGCCGTTATTGAGAAATTTTATTTCACCAAGTGATCGAATGTCGAGCTTCGGCATGATATGAAAAAGGATTTTAATGATCGACGAAAATCCGCTTCATTGTAAGATTTGACTTTGCATAATTTTCATATTTCTTTAGGGAGACACAAATGTCGGGAAGAATGGCCGAATGTCGGAATGGAGAGAGCTTACAATCTCTTCCTCGACGCAACGTTACTTCTGATTCCCCTGATCGTAATGATCATGGCATATTCCCTGATTGCGTCAAAACTTTGGCGAGGTCTCAGACGTGAGATTCGCCATAGTTCGTCTTGTCGCCGGAAGGGTAAGTCCGAAGCTACGAAACAGGACAATGAAATTCGTCCTGCGTTGCGTTAATTTAACGGAAGAGAATCACCGAGTCCCGAATTTTTAACATCATTTTGAAACCGATCACGATTAAATATAGATAAGCGAAATATTGATATCGTCAATTAAATATTAAAATCGTTATTAATGTAAAAATAAGAGGTGGCTACCGATCGCACACATTTCCAGTGCAGCTGCAGGTGCAGGTAGTACTCAAATGCAGCCGAATATCCAATGCGAGGATTTTCCATTGATCCATATATTACTGTCAATGCAGCCGGAAATTGTTTCCCGTGAAATGAATTAGTGTCGGCACAACTAGTCGAGCTTTCCGTCGATTTCCCTTCCAGTAACCAGGACGGGATCCTCGCCAACCGTGAATTCCTGCGACCGGTCGAACGAGTACATATGTGCTCCCTCCAGACATCGAGGTTCCCTTCGGTGTCCCGAAGGATACTCCCAGGGTGGGTCCCGAGGAAACGCGATTAGGGAATATCGCAGGGACGCATCTCGACAACGGGAACCCAAGAACTCCGGAAGAGCTTCCCTGCCCAGGACGGAAACCGTCAAACTCTGGCTCATGCGAGGAATGGTGAGACTTCTAGGCGAAACGTGCTTCGACTTCCCTCCTGTTAAAATGGAAATTTGTATAATTTCTATAAACAAGTGGAAAAGTTACACGAACGATTGACTCCTCGGATGGCACTTTGACCCTCCTTTAATTTTTTTCGGTCTCTCTCGAAGGTGCGTCTACCTCGAGCCGAGGTGTCCAGGGTGTCCTCCGGGCGTCGAGGCTCATCCTCCCAGAGATTTCGCAGCCTTGACAGCGAAAATGGCGCCAGGGAGAGGATCATCCCCGAAGACGGCAACGAGGTCGAATGGGAAGACCAACGCGAGGTCGGGTGCGCCTTTAACAGACACGCCGTGAGAAGTACCTACATGGACAGGAGCATAGAGGCCAAGAAGAAGGTACCACCAGTCGGGACACCTTTTCCGAAACACCCACCCCTGGTTCCCCGGTCTCTTCGAGATTAGAATTTCCCGAGTGCGCAGGTCATCAGGATGCTCTTCGTCGTGGTCCTGGAGTTCTTCGTCTGCTGGGCCCCTCTCCACGTCATCAACACCTGGTACCTCTTCGCACCTGAGCTGGTCTACTCCCTGGTGGGTAGCACCGGCATCAGCCTCGTTCATCTGCTGGCCTACGTTTCCAGCTGCTGCAATCCCATCACGTACTGCTTCATGAACCGGAAGTTCCGCCAGGCCTTCATCGGCGTCTTCGACTGCTCGAATCGGTGCTGTCGAAGGCAAGTGATCGCACATTTATCAGGGAAATACGTTTACGGTTGACGGAGCGATCGAGAAAAATAAACCCGAAAGAAAGATGCTGGACGATATAGAAAAGGAATGGGAAAAAATTAAATGACACCTAAGCTCGGTGGAAGCGAACTTTTCTAAAAATGAAATTTCACGTGCATTCGGTGCACTCGGATCAATTGAATTTTTCTCCCGGGATCTCGGGCCAAAGTTCGTCGCGTTTGATGAGCTTTCTCTGGAGTTTAAGCTGAACATTCACGGGGCATCTTTTAGACGAAGTGAACCGTAAATTACAGCGTGCGGACCGCATGCGGAAACGAGTTGGTTGCGGTCGGGAAAACGCGGATCGCCCATCAGATGGGAAACAGCGAGGTCAGCGGAAACGATTCGACGGTTTACCTCGGCAGAGCTTCATTGGTGGCCAGATCAGGTAGGAATCGCCAAGCATCCATTATCATTGTAAATCATGTCGACGGGATCATTCTTTGGAAGCCCGACTTCGAAATGACGGAAAAACGTGCGGTTGACGTTTCATTCCAGAAGTGGTTCTTCTAGAAGCGGAGGATCGGGTCTAGCATCGGCCATTGCTGGCCGCGACCTCGGGCAAAGACCGCGATTGTTTATGCAAATATCCGGAAACGCAAGCCAGACTTCCGGGGAGAAGACTGTCTTTTCGGGATATCCTGGAGCCATCCTCGGGTCCTGTCAACTGCCAAAAACAGCGGACGAGAGCGCACCTTTCTAGGACCTTTTGCTCGCATCTAGAAAATCTGGCGATCTTTTTCAAGAAAATGTGCGCAACAAACTGGGCATTTGTATAAACGAAGCAACACTCGGCAATCACTGTAGAATATTGGGTAGAATTCAGCCTTAGATGGGTCCGACGTTGATGTTGAATTTGTTGAATTCAGTTTAATTTATACGAAATACGAAATATCGATTAAATATTTATATCTCAGTATTAAGGATACTCTCTTTTAGATATCAAAATTTGAACCGTGTAAGAGGCCCCGTAAATTATTTCTGTAAAATCGCGCTTGTTACGCTGTATTCCTATATGCTGTCGTGATTTGTACATAAAGAAATGCATAAAATAACGTAACGCGTTGCAATTTTCTAGGGTCATTGGAATTAAAGTTATCGAACGGATATCTCTAATTTAATTAATCCTTTCCTGTGATTTGCACAATTGTAGATTCCTTAGATTTAAGAGAGCGAATTGAAATATACGTCGCGCATAATGCGAAATGTATCTACGAGAGATTTAATAAACTTTTTCGCAATAATTTTCCATCCACCCCTTTTAATGTTCCAAACCTATTCTACGATTTCAATATTCATCTTAAGGATAAAACAACGCAACTGGGAACTTCCTGAACGATTTTATATCCAATATCATTGTGATATATATTTTTTTGTCTTCATGCAAAGATGCATCGCAATCGCAATCTTGCTCTGCAGAAATGCAATTCAGGGCAGAAATGTGGAAATATTCGGAGATTGCAGAAGTCAGGACGTTCGATTTTCCATTTTCAAGCAGAGCAAAGCAAAAAGGGAAAAGGATACTCCGAGGCGGCCGAGTCGTATCAATCGGAGTCGATCAGAAATTTCATACATTTTTTCGCAACTCGGTCCCACGTTCTGCTTAGCATTTTTTTTTTTTTTATTTCCCTCGGGAAGATTCGAGAAAGTTGGTCCAGGGCGAATGATCGCCACATGCTCCCATGAGCGCTCTACGTCAGTTAAGGATTCCTCCCAATTTCTGGGACGATCTCTTCGATGCTATCTCCGAATGCAGAAATTTCCCTCCGCGTTTCCTTGTTTCGGGAGTATTTTCCTCCAAGGAGAGCCCGAGCGCAGCAGAATGCATCTGCGGTATGAAAAGCGCCTTGAATTTTGCGAATAGGTGCACCTCTACTGAGAACTTCAACCGGATCAGGCAAAAATACGGAAAATATTTTAAACGTAGATTTCCAACGATAAAACTGAAAGGAAGACATACCTTTAAAGGAAGATATACTAGAAAAGAGTTAAATAACCTTCGATATTTCTCTAACGAAAAGTTTATTTTCTCGGGGGGTTCAAGTTCTATATCTGAATCGTCGCGATTGTCTTCCAGCATTGTCAATTGCGCGGGTAGAAGTGCATATTCTATTCTGAAAACTTCTTAAATTTGCGCCGAAGGGCTCTTCTTGACTAGCTGAGACCAAACCGAAAGAAGACTACGAGGCGTGAAATTTGCATCCGGGAATTCCTGGAAAATGGCGAAGTAAATTCCTCTCATTTCGATTCCGAGGATGTGTCGAGTTGTTTCTTCGGATATTAAATTATTATACGTATACTCGGCAGCTCCGCGAGTCGCGAAGTGCAACTTCTTCAGCGTTATTTGTCTATTTTTTTTATTCCTCGGTTCTTCGACCCAATTCTCTCGCTCTGCCGTCTTTCCGGGATTTCCCGGGAAATTCGTAAGCAAGGGGAAACTTTAATTCTGCATGACATGCAAATGGGCAGGGATGATACTCGGGTATCCGGGATATGCAGCAGAGATGCATCTGCGGAATACAAAACCTCGGGGAGATCAATGAAGTCGAAACCGCTTTTTCCTGGAAACGGGAATGGCAATTCCATCACTTTCCGATCGATGCGGCCATTATTTGCGCGTTGCATTTTGGACCCCCTCCTCCTCCTTTTTTTTTGCCCTTTTTCCACGTCAAATGCATTTAACAACTCGGATGTCCTTTTGTCCTGAATGCGTTTCGCGGTTTGGTACGCGTGAGATTCAAAATGCTGATTTATTACGCATTCGGTGCTTTACATTCAGGGGCAAGCGCTGATAAGTGAATAACGAGGTAGTCTTGTTAATTGTATGCTTATTAATAAATATGCGTTGGACAATTGGTTACGCGGGTACCAAATTAAATTACGCTTTTCTTCCCAACAAGGGCTCGGTAGGCTAACAATACACACAATAGGCTGTAATGTACACAATGTATAATACTTTGGGAGGAAAGGAGTAATTACTGCTTCATTCAAAGCCATTCCTCCGCGACCCTTATTTTCGCCCCTTAAGGCGTTTTAAAAGTACCTTTATTTCTTTCTCTTAATTTCCTTCCTTTTTTTTTAATAACGGTAGCAGGAACCTTTTCTTATTTTCGTCTTTAGCCAACAATGGGACTCTTACGCAGGGTGATAACTTGTCAAACATCCTTGACTTCTTGTTCTTGACATCTGCTGTATGACCTTTTCGTGTAATTCGCAATGTAGAGGACAATAGACAACGTAAATTTTAATGTCGGTTAAGATTTTGATTTAGTGTTTTAGTTCACTTAACCAATCTTGTTTGCCTCAATTTACGAAAGTGTTTCAATTAAATCGAATTAGATTAACGCGGTAATTGGAGCGGGACAGTAATTTATGCAATAAGAAATTTCACGAAAAATAAAATCAATTCATCGGAAACGAATTAATATCCTCGTAAATTGTCGATTACCTTCGGTACTCTATGCTGATAATACGTAATTGGATCCATTATTTGCATCCGGTGTTCTGTGAAATGTTTCACCTCGACAAGTGGAATCGCGGATCCCTCGTTATTTCGAGATCACAAAAGCTTATCCCTCAATAAACATGTCAAGAATCAATTCTGAACGGATAGATACGTATCTATTCCGAAAAAATTCCATAAGAATTCATATATACCCTTTATCTATATTTCCTTGTAATAAAACATTACTAAATTGTAACGACCTTAACTGCCTGAATAAGATTCATAAGGATATCAAAAGGGCAATATTACAACAATATGGCTAAAAATTTGTATATTTTCCTCTGCACTGCTTTTGGATCCGTGTTTTCATGCAATGGCGTAAAGTCCACGTGGTGAAAATTTGCATGTTTTCTTCTCCCGGGGGACTTCGATCTCATTTCGCCGCGGGTGCTCGCGGTAAAAATAGTTCTCGTTACTGCTGACAAATTGTACTTCTTCTTTCGGTCTGCTAGTGCACGTGCGTCAAGAATCGCCGGGATTTTATCATTAGGCTCATAAGTAATCACGCGACGCGATTGATGTCTTTCCGTAAAATCTCGAGTCCCGGTTTCCAGGTTTTTCTTATTCAAATTCAGACTCATATTTACCATCCAATTTCGATTACGGAAAACGCCATAGAAACTTATTAACATTTTTGGTCATTTCGGTAATCCCGATATCTGCATAGATTTTGCCAGTAATTGGCAAAATCATTGCAAAATCGATCACACCTGCACGAATGATTCAATCTTACGGTTAATCGAAATTTCCTAATAATTGTTTCTGTAATCCGATATCTTCGTCAAGTTTTCCTTTTCGTATTTCTACGGATTGGGAAATAGAAACATGATAAATGAAATTATGTCAGGCAGAATAAATTTAAATAATCAGTAAATTGAGTCAAGGTGCAAGTCTTAGGTAAATAAATCCATTACGTCATATACTAAATGCATCCATAAATTTACTTATATCTAGTTGGGAATGTAACTTATTGCCCGGCACTTTCTCTTTGTTTCCGTGCGCGGTTTTTTATAGACATCGTATATCACGCCATAATAAACCAGACTTCTGATAAAAGTTGCTGAAAGTATAGTTTCCCCATTCGCACTGGTTTAAGGCCTGCTGACCATTGGTCAGTTACACCTCGTATTTTATGTTTTCACCGATCCAATTTTAATACATTCGAATTTGTCTTTCATGCTTTCGTGCACTCAAATCGATGTAACTGCAAATAAATTCGCAGCTTTTGTGCTTGTCGTTTATTTCATCGCACTCATGTACATTTGGCTACGTAACTTCACTTGATGGCCTCGATAAATTAACGACAAGTGCACGCGCTAAGGTATGCCCGTCTGTTCCGAGCGTAATGCTTTTTCGCGAATTATTCGCCGAATCGTCCTTCTATCTACTCCCTACATCTACATTTTGCAGTTATTATGAAAGACGAAAGTTATTATCGTACTTACTTTAACTGGGAATCCGATTGACCGTAAGTCTCGAGCGAACATTTCTGTCTCCATCCCGGGAACTACGTAACTAGAACAAAGCTCTTTAATAAAATTCCTGCTTTTCAATTCCATGGTTAAAAAATATATAAAACGTGTGTCAGGATTTTCTAAACACTTCACAGTGTCGGGAATTTGGTAAGGCATTCGAAATAAAATATTTCGCATACCGCACGGAATGTTGGACGCGCAATTAAATTATTCTAGGAGGCAATAACGCGGCTGGCTAATCACCGAAACTGATACGGGCACCCTACTCGGTACCTGTGTTTGCATTTGCGTTTGCATTTCCGGATACTCTTTTGCCATGGTACAATTTCAAGTGCTCAGGTTGTCACGCCCCGTGCGTGTTTCGCCGCTATCGCAATGATAATGTCGCGGCAACGTTCATTTCGCACGATGAAAATGCGAGGAGGTGCTTGGGCCCGGAAGATTTACATTTTTCCGATACATTTACATTTGCAACGCCGTATATATATTTTTTTTTTAGTTTTTTCGCTTTTTCGAGGGACTAACGACGCAGTGGCGCCGCGTTAATTAAACG